GAGAAACAAAACACGAATTCATTTTAGAGCTTCGAAAATGTAGAGCCCTGGTTCTTTTAATTCTAGATTCTAAATCAAACAAAATTAATTTGAATTTTTTGGAAATGAACTAGCCCGTGGCTTAAAATCTCCTAGATAAAGGTTAAAAAATAAAATTAAATTAAAACTATATTTATAAAAAATGCATATCCAAGTGAAATTGTACAATATACATGGTACACAAATTGAATAATCATAATTTAAATGAAGGATAATTAATGTATTGCTGAACTTCAAATAAGTAATTTTTTAACAGAAATGCTGGGCATTATTTACAACAAAAGATCTTCTAGTTTATTATATTTTTCCACGTGCCACTTATTAGTCATAGCAATATTTTACGTGAGCAGGTTTTGAAATGGACTAGTGCAACAATTTGAATACACTGGTAAAATTTATAATCAAAATAAATCTAGTTCTATGAGTCGATAATGTGCCAGAAATATAAAAAAGTAGTTCAGACACTTGGTTTATTTCAATGTCACAATATCGAAACACAACATTCAGCATATTTCTGTTAGGTTTGAATCATGAAAGCTTCTTAATGTTCCAGAATCTTGCAAATTTCACAATGTTCGGAATATTGGTCTGAGAAATCACATTTTAAAAGTCCTGAACAAAAAAAAAACTTTTCAAATCTTAAAGATTTTTCTTAATCCAGAATAAAAAAAATAAAGTTTCAGAATTTTGCATTTTTTTTCTGTGTTCCATAACATTTATTTGCTTGAATCAACTTGGAGTTTATAAGAAAATGTCTCAAGAATTTCCATAGAATCAAAAAAATAATTCCTCACAGTTCATCTTAGGTATTCCCTTAAGATTTGCTCCATAATACTCTAGAAATTCTCTATAGAATGCTTTTTGATTCGCCCTGCAATTGTCGTAACATTCTTTACAATTATCGTTTCTCTAAAGGATTCTCCTGAAAATATCTCTCCTCTCAGTATTAACTAAGTATTCTTCTAAAATTCCCATGGAATAATCTTCGAAATTCTCGCTATATTCCTTGGAGTGGTTACTTGAAATCGTTGAAATGGTCCTGCAGAATCGCCTAGGAACAACCTAGTATTACTTTGAAATTTACCTCAAAACTTCGTTGGAAATTTCCTAGAAAATCCTAAGAGTTCTTTTTAGTCAGAACAAGTGGTGGCACGAGTACTGGTTTTTAACTTGTTTCCTTAACATTTGATACTTTTCGCAATGACCACAGTGAAGACACACGAAAACAAACTGGCAACCGGAAAAAAATGTCGTGACATTTCTGAACTGGTTTCTGCCAGCGACAGAACATTTTCGCACAAACAAAGCAGACAAGACCAACACGACTTAAATTTAACTCATGAAGAATTTTGCTGATTTCTGCCCAATTACTGCATTTATTTGATGTTTATTATTACATGGAATTAAAAGATAAGAATGAATACTAACCACTAGACTGATGCAAAATTTGACTTTTTCGCTCCACAGTGCTTAAATGGTTTCAAATCGGGTCCTGATTAGCCTCCCAAAGTTACAACTCATTTGGTTAGTAACAGACTTCTCACAAGCCATTTGAAGTTTACATGTAAATTACTACGGGAAATCTCAACTTTTTGTTCATTGCCTTCCAGTATTTTTCCATATTGAGCTGAGAAACAGTTCGATAGCCATTCTTATAGAAAATTTTCTCAGCTACAACTTTGCTCAAGATCGTTTCTATGTAAAACGAGACAGGAAAAAAGTTATTAATTATTTAAGAGATTGGTAAACTTATGACAAGATCAAGCAGCAGCTCAGTAGGCAACACTGTATTTTGCAGTGTGACATAGTAGGCATGATTTTTGTGTCCTATTTAACGCCCCAGAAACACTAATGTTGCCTGCTGAGCATTATCATAAGACATCAGCACATTGAACCATTGATAACTTTCGATCCTTGTATTTAATCAAAAAGAGGTCTTCAGCAAAGTTGTAGCTGGGAAAATTTCCTACAAATACAGTTAAAAGCTTTTGAAGCAGACCGATATGGTGAATTATTAGATAGACATGAACAAAAATCTTGGTTTCACCATAGTAATTCCCATACAAACTTCAAATGGTTTGTGCCATCTCAGTTTCATGTTCATGGGGTTCAAATTTTGAGAGGTTAGTCAGGATCTGATTTGGAATCGTTTAAGTATTGTGGAGCGAAAATTTCAAATTTTGCATCACTCTACTAACCACTCATAAGCAAAAATTATGCATTCAAAGTGTTTGTATGTTACTTTATACGCGAAGTTTGCGATTTTCAGAGTTGGTTGGAAATGCTATCTAACATGAAGCTTTAGTGTGATAATTTATTAGCTAGAGAATGATCTTAAAAGAGGGTAGATAGTTCGGTTAGAGTACGGCAGTATGAAAATTGAATAGAAGTTGAAAATGAGCGAAGGGCCATTAATGCGACAGATCAAGCCAAATGCACACTTTTTGCCTAAACCATACGATGTACGCGGAGATTTGAAATCTGCAGGCAAGAAGTGTGCGTCTGCCTTTGCTCAAATACTGCGTGCGGCTGTGGAATAGTTCTAGCGACGTTTCATTTCGCTCATTTTCAACTTCTATTCAATTTCCATACTGCCGTACTCTAAAGGAACTATGTACCTACCCTCTCCTAAGATCATTCTCTAGCTAATAAATTATCACACTAAAGCTTCATGTTAGATAGCATTTCCAACCAACTCTGAAAAATTATGCGTAAATGAGGGACTTGATAATTTACTGTTACACCCAACCCAAGCTTGCAGCTAAATTTAATTGCAATAAACTATTTGAAAAAGAATGGACTGCGACATTTTTCTGGCTTTCTTGTTTTGCTCTGGACGATGGTTTTGCAAAAAATGTACATTTGCCACCTCTGTCCTTCTGTCTTGGAATGTAACCAGAATTATCTTGCAAATTTATTTTGAATCCTACTCAGGATTTCATTGGAATTCTCTTTAAGTTTCATCTGGAGTCTGGAGTTCATCAGAACTGATTTGAAAGAAGACCTCAGAACTCACTTTCCAAAAAAACATCTTTTGATATTTTCATCTCAATTCCCTTGAAATTATTCCTAGAGATCCTTGTAAATGTTCATCAAATTTATTCATTACAGTTCATAACATTTGAAGCTTTTGCAAGGGCCTTAATTTATTTGAAATCTGAGTTCTTGGAATTCATTCTATGTTCGTGGTCTTGAATATTTCTTTTCATTCCAAATTTATGAAAATTTCTTCAAGTTTGATTTCATGAGATCCAAAATTAAAAAAAAAATAGTTTGAATTTAAAATATGTAGAAATTATCCAACCTTAAAAAAACACAACTCAAGACCAACAATTGAAATGGCCTTAACTCCATTTTGTAAACAAACCTTGTAAGGCCATTTTCTCGCAAACCTAAACCACAATCGGGTAGAGGAGAATTTCCCCTACCTGTTCATTATGTTGGTTTGCCTTTGCGGACTTCGGTTCGCGAGAAAATGGCTTTACAAGGTTTGTTTACAAAATGGAGTTAAGGCCATTTCAATTGTTGGTCTTGAACTTAGAATTTATGTAGTTACTGAAGATAAATGCACTGCATAATTTTTTTTTTTCAAAGAATAAAAGTAACTAAAGAGGAAGTTTATCTTCGTTGTATTATAAGTTCTTTTAAATTTTTTGAAAAGGTTCTCCGGCGTATTTCAATATATTCTATTCTTAAAAGGTGGTTGATAAAGAAATTTGAAAATACCCTGAAGATTCCAGGTTTTTCCAGGATTTTCCAGTAGGGAGTTTTCCAGGTAGTAGCCACCTTGTTATCGTTCAAGCACTGCTTCGAAAAATGCCATACAATTCCAAAGAAATGCGTGATTAATCATAATAACGAGTAATAGCTAACTATTTTTAAAAGTCGATCCGAAGTAGCTCAGCGATGTTCTAGTACTGCAATTTTAAAACATATTCAATGTGAAATTTCCTAGACGGTCCGGTTGGTAATTTCTTTCGTTAGATACACATAAACACACAATGAAAATTCACTTTCACAGCCTTTTTTTTAGTATCACTCGATGTACTAGTTGTTGGTATCACAAGATAAGTTACACACCGAATACAACTTAATCAAATCGCTGGGAAAGAGTTTAATGACAAACAATGAAAGCACACACATAACACAAACAAAACATCAATGTGTAGGATAAGAGGGACAATGATGACGAGGACTGCTGCTGCTGCGGCGCCGCTGCTGTGGGGGATGGAACGGGTGCTTGAATGAGAAATAGCTGAACTTGAAATTCGCCATGAATGGGTGTATAATGAGGGGGACCTGCATCTGAATTCATGCTCGCTTGTTCGGGAAAATTCTTGGTGAAAGTTTGGTTAAAAACAAAAGAAATGCAAAATGAAAAGAATAAGTTTTTCCCTGCCTGAAGGCTGCATTCATCACTTGTTTTTTTTTTTTGTTAGCCACATATGAGGGAAGAAATGGACAATGTGATGGTCATTAGGCATAACTGTAGGGGTGCAGGGGGAGGTATGTTTTCAGCGCGGCATTCTTTATTGTCTGAGGAGAAAAAAAGGATACCGTAGGTGGAACGCAGGAATCAAAGCTTTTACTTTACGGACAAATCCTAGCGGGGCGAAATTCTGTCCTAACTTTCAACCTCCTCCAAAATCAAATTCAAATTTTTCGAAAAACATTGTGACATTAAGCAGGTTTCATCCTCATTCGCGGTGCAATTGGATTTTTCGAGAAATTTGACACACATTCATTTTGGAGGGGGCGGAAATTGCAACTGTTTTTCGACCCCCTCGAGTGCTTCTACCTTGGCAAACTAAATTCCTAGTCCTACAGCGCGCTTCATAACTGATTTCTCGCTTCGTTTTGGGGTTAGAACTTCCGGGCACTCAAACGCGTGTCAGTCTACCGTGGTTTAATTGTCAAAGGAACCGCGCATTGTAGAAAGAGTAGGGAAGGAATCTTTTTACCTGACTGTCGAACAGTTGCTGTCGGGTGGGCGAATTGCGTAAAAAGATGACCGATTCGGTCTTCTCCCGGCGTGGCCGCAGGAAGTCGAGATTCCGTACCGAGGGAGTTATTCCTGGCCTGGGAGTAGGCTGATTGCTGACCCCGCCAGAGAGGCCGGTAGGTCTCGGTGGTGTCCGTGGCCGCGGTTCGTCCCCATCGCCCCGTTTCGTGACGGTAAAGTCCGTCAGGATGGGTTCACCTTTATTGCGATTGCGCGAGAATATGGCACTGGAACGTTGCTGCTGCTGGATGGCACTGGAGGACATTTGCTTGGAACTGGCTCCACTGCTTCCGGGTGTAATCTGCTCGCCAAGGATGGCCGAGTGCCGTTTGGACAGTGGGAAAAAGTCCGAGTTCTCCCGGCGGAATCCCCGGACAAAGTTGAGCGAGAGTTTAGAGTCAGATTCCTGACGTTTGTGAGATTGCGGTGCAAGGAACTGTGGTTGACTGGTGGATGCGGACGTACCGGGACTAGACTTTCCGGGAGATTGCTGTTTGTGGTACTGGCGGGCGAAGATTTCGCTCTTGACCCGTTCCTCCAGGCGGATCTTGTTGTTCATCTCTTCGACTTTCTTCTTCTCGGCAAAGGCCAGGTTTGACATTTTGCTGTTTTCTCGTTCCTTGCGGAGCTTGTCCAGCCCGTTCAGGCGTCCGTGGGAATCGGCCGGCGACGAGGAGGACGACTTATCCGACATGGAGTGGCGTTGCTGGGGCAGTCGCTGTGGACGCTCGTTCGACGGGAAGAACCGCTCAAAGTCCCAATCCCGCAGCAGGACGGCTTCCTCGCTCTCGGACTGGGTCGATCCGGTGGATGCGGACGAGGTCGTGGTCCCGATCGATGAGGTCGATTTGTTATCGTAGTTCTGTGTGGTGATGATGGTGATTGGTTTTTAGAAGCGTTCATGTATGTTCTTCAAAAGTTCGGTCTTATCACAACTACATAGTTTGCGAGGGGGCGGGGGAGCTCTTCCTACTTTGAATACCTAAATCAAATCTTCAAATATGACAGCAATGTAATCGACATTATATGCCAAATTGGGATTTCGGGATCTACAACTGTTTCTAAATGGCAGTTTTTCAGATGTGTGTGTGTTTGAATGCAAAATCTGATGTTTTTTAGAGGTGCGAGCGAAGGTGGATGAAACGGTTACTCAACTATAGATATGCAACAATCAGGAGGCCAAATGTAACAATAGCTGCGCGTCATTTTTCATAATACAGGCTTCAACTGTGATAAAAAAAAAACAACAAACTACAAACGGCGCTAACAATACGGAGCTGCAACAGTAACGGAAAACAAACTGGGGTAATCGCTGTTTTTAATTACAAACCACTACCATTTGTACCACAAAGTTGAACTTGTGTAACACAGATCTGAAAAGATATGATTGATTTGCTTCGGTGTCGTTTCCTTCTCTGTACACAGGCATACCATTAGTTTCATTGGCAACATATTCCACACGCCGCACACACACATACATACATACATACATACATACATACATACAAACATACAAACGGTTTACTATTGTTTGTGGTTTGTATTGGTTGAGATTGATTTTGCTTAGGAATGGAAAACCCTTCTCCGACAGATGTTGTTGGATGAGCAGAGAGCGAAAGAAGAAGAGCACAGGCGTAGAACAGAGATTATTAAGAGGCTATTTATTTTGGTTTTTGGGCAACTGCGTGACGATTAAAGGATAGTTTTATGGTTTTAGTAAACAGGTGAGGTAAAATACGGTGGATGTTGGCGGCGATGGTTTGTTTGGCTATTTAGATCCAATTTATTTGCGAAGCGCATCGTGAACAAGTTTGCTTATTAACTGGAGGTCATTGGAATAAGAGAGCAAAACTGAAAATCGGTAAATCAATCTGAGTTCAATCTGAAAAAGGATATCTAACGAGCGGGAGCGTTGATCGAATGTGAGGTTGCGTTTCTTTTTTTCTTTGGACTTATTCTATTCTCTGTGTATAATAAAACCTTTTTTAAAACTCTATAGCATTGCATATCATAAGTTTAGTATTTTGTTTACTATTTCCTGTTCTACACACTATTTTGAGGCTACTCATTTTTGAGTCAAAAATTAGGGGCTGTTCATCAACTACGAAGACAGTTTTTTTTTTAATTCTTGATCCCCTCCCTCCTCCTCATTCTGCCGTGGATAATTGCCAACCCCACCCTCCGCTAAACTGTCTACGTAGTTTATGAACAGCCCCTTACTCAGTCCAGGCCAAAAAGGGAAGTTACCCAAAAATTGGTAAACATGCTTTTACTCAAATTTGAGTAAACGTGCCTATGGAGGAAATAGCGTAACGGTTACTCAGATTAACTGAGTAAGCCTTACCCATTTTGATGATAAAACGAATACTTAATATATACAATAAATTATTTCGTCCAGGAAGGATATAAAAAAAAAAACATTATGAACGTTATAATTCTGTATTCATTGATACCAACGAACTATTTGTTAGAGTTGTACACCTCAGCTAACTGCTGATAGCTTTCACCATCCTGGTTATTACATAGCTGCTCCATTTTCACTGCTTCACTTCTAAAACATAATTTTAGAGTCACTGCGCAAAAATCGCCTGTTCACAACTTGCGCCATTTTGAACTTAGGAAAAATTGATAGAGCAAAACCAGTTTACTAATTTTTTGACAACTCCATACAGCATGCAAAAGTGAATGCGATTTATCCAGTCACTGAGTAGCCCCACAATAGCGTGTAGTCCTTTTCAGCTGCATGAAAATTGCAAACAAACTAGTAGCGGTAACCTCCATCGAGGATAAAACCCCAATCTCAAATTATCCTCGATTTTGCTAAGTACCATATCGTAGGGGAAATGGCTTAAATACCCCTAATTTGGGCCCATACATAAATTAAGCAATCTTCTAAATTTTCAATAGCGACCTTTTGGCTATCCATTAGTACCGTCCCAATGACGCGCTTCAAAAAGAACTCAGCCAAAACAAATTCTGCTCTGACTACTCTTACACACATATGCACGAGCATCAAATGTAATTTTTCTGACTACACGGCCACTGAGAATAACTCAGAGAGAGAGAGAGTCACTTCTACTCAGAGGTATGGAGAAATTTTTAAAAACTGCAAGAGCTCAGCGCTGAGAAACTGCAGTTAAAAAAAAATCTTATACAACTGAGTAGATGTGGTTCTCTCTGTGTGTTATTCTCTGTGGCCGTGTATGTTTGTGAAATCCGATGCGCTTATTGCTGCAGCTGTTCCGACCGCAGCTACCAAAAAGTTTGTTACGGCTTAGTCCCAATCAACTTCCTGTACAGTCCGATCGGCTGCAACAAATTAATTTGGAAAATTTATACGGATCTTATTAGGGAGGAGGATTGAAAGTGTTGGGATAAATATGAAATCCCACAGCGGACTTTTCCACAACATCATGTTTCCTCTATTTCATGTTGCATGTTTGCCAAGAAATTTGTTGCCTATTCGGAATGGATTATGCTTCTGATTATGCTACTCTTCTGGAGAAACTTCTCGTCGGAAGTACTGTGAATTTCTAGTAGAAAGATCTCGAAATGTATCGACAGTAGTTCTCATAATTTCTCCTCGAAAGTTCTCTGAACTTCTCGTCGGAAATTTTGTGAAGTTCTAATCGGAAGTTCTCTGAATTTTTGGGTGGATGTTATCGGAACTTCTCCTCGGATGTTCGCTAAATTTCTCCAAAGAAGCCTTGAACTTTTTCTTGGAAGACATTTGAACTTTACACAGGCAGTTCTCTGATCTTCTCGTCGGAAGTTCTCTGAACCTCTCCTTGACAGTTATCTGAACTTCTCCTCGAATGTCCTGTGGGTTTATTGTCGGAAGATCTGAGAACTTTTTCTCGGAAATTTTGTGAACTTTTCGTTGGACGTACTATGTGTTGGCAGAGCCAGCAGCTTTCTAATTATGAAGTGAAAAACCAAGCGGGTCTTCACCACTACTATAACCAGTATACTCATCAAAATGTTCTCAACCTAAAAGATAAATGGCTTCTTCCTCATTATGTATCAGCAAACGGTTGACGGAATAAAGACTGCGGAAGGCAATTTATTCACAGAAACTATTTTTTGAAAGCTGATCCGAAACGGAAAGAAGCCATTTCTCTTTTAGGTCGAGCACATTTTGGTGAGTATACTGGTTATGGTAGTGGTGAAGACCTGATTGGTTTCTCACTTCATAATTAGAAAGCTGCTGGCTCTGCCAACACTATGAACTTCTAGTGTCTTAGAAATACTAAGAGCTTCTTGTCGGAAATTCTCTGAATTCTTCGTCAGAAGTTTTCAGAACTTCTTGCCAGAAAATCTCAGATTTGCTCCTCGGAAGTTCTCTGGACTTCTCGTCAGAAGATCTATGAACTTACATACATCACATTTAAGATAAGACATAATCAACAATAGTACACCACAATACTCGGTTTGCAGCTGCCGCTCTCCATCCTCGGTCATGCCCAATGCTCGCTAGATAGCACTCTACCTGGTCCGTCCATCGTGCTCTCTGCGCTCCACGCCTTCTTGTGCCAACCGGATCAGTAGCGAACACCAACTTTGCAGGGTTGTTGTCCGGCATTCTTGCAACATGCCCTGCCCACCGCATCCTTCCGGCTTTGGCCACCTTCTGGATGCTGGGTTCGCCGTAGAGTGCAGCGAGCTCGTGGTTCATTCTTCGCCGCTACTCACCGTTCTCCTGCACACCGCCGAAGATCGTCCTTAGCACACGTCGCTCGAAAACTCCGAGTGCTTGCAGGTCCTCCTCGAGCATAGTCCATGTCTCGTGTCCATAGAGGACCACCGGTATTATAAGCGTTCTGTACATGGTACATTTGGTGCGGGGGTGAATCTTTTTTGACCGTAGTTTCTTCTGGAGCCCGTAGTAGGCCCGACTTCCACTGATGATGCGCCTTCGTATTTCACGACTCACATTGTTTTCAGCCGTCATTAAGGATCCAAGGTAAACGAATTCCTCCACTACCTCGAAAGTATCCCCGTCTATCGTGACATTACTTCCTAGACGAATCCTGTCATGTTCGGTTCCGCCTACTAGCATGTACTTTGTTTTTGACGCACTCACCACCAGTCCGACCTTTGCTGCTTCGTGTTTCAGGCGGGTGCATAGATCTGCCATCGTTCCAAATGTTCTTGCGATGATGTCCATGTCGTCCGCAAAGCACACAAATTGACCGGATTTCGTGAAAATCGTACCCCGGCTGTAGAATCCGTCACCTTGACGCAGTCCCCGGCGAGATTCGAATGAACTGGGTAGTTCACCCGAAACCCTTACGCAGTTTTGCACACCGTCCATCGGATCAGCTTCCCAGGAAAGCCGTTCTCGTCCATGATTTTCCATAGCTCTGTGCGGTCGATACTGTTGTACGCCGCCTTAAAGTCGATGAACAAATGATGCTTTGGGACCTGGTATTCACGGCATTTCTGAATGATTTCCCGTACGGTGAAGATCTGGTCCGTTGTCGATCGGCCTTCAATGGAGCCGGCTTGATAACTTCCCACGAACTCGGTCATTTTAGGTGATAGACGACGGAAGATGATCTGGGATAGCACTTTGTAGGCGGCTTTCAAAATGGTGATCGCTCTGAAGTTCTCACATTCCAAATGGTCGCCTTTCTTGTGAATGGGGCAGATTACCCCCTCCTTCCACTCCTCCGGTAGCTGTTCTGTTTCCCAGATCCTGACTATCATCCGATGCAGGCAGGCATCTCTGAACTTATCGTCGGCTGTTCTCAACTTCTCAACGGCAGTACTCTGAACTTTTCGTCGGAACCTTCAATCTTTGAAATTGGCCCGAAAAGCCTCTGCTCTTACCCTGTCACCCTATGATTTTTCATTTTCATT